ATGGGTGCACCCAGAGGGTATGCTAAATGAGATAAGTCAGAGAAAGACAGATACCACATGATTTTACTTATATGTAGAATCTATAAAAATAAAATAAATAAACAAAAAGCAAAAACAAACTCATAAATACAGAGAACAAAGAGACGGTTGTCACAGGAGAGAGAATTGAGGGATAAGCAAAATGGGTGAAGGTAATGGGAGACACAGGCTTCCAGCTATGGAATGAATAAATCACAGGGATAAAAAGTACAGCATAGGGAATATATGAATGGTATTATAATAGCATTGCATGGTGACAGTTGATAGCTACACCTGTGGTGAGCATAGCATAGTGTATAGGTTTGTCAAATCACTATGTTGTACACCTGAAACTAATGTAACATTGTATATCAACTATACTTTAATAATAATAATAATAATAAATCTGTGTTCAGATTCACTGATTCTTTCTTCTGCTTGGTCTAGTCTGCTATTGAAACTCTTCATTGAATTCATTTCAGTTCTTGTATTCTCCAGCTCTAAAATTTCTGGTGTTCCTTTTTCTGTTTCTGGTGTTCTGTTTTTCTCTCTGTGGAACTTATCATTTCATTCTTTTATTATTTTCCTTATTTCATCAAACCGTTTATCTCTGTTCTCTTGTAGCATTCTGACCATCTTTAAAACAATTATTTTGAATTCTTTGTTGGGTAATTTATGAATCTCTACTTCTTTGGGGTCCATTACAGGAAGTTTACTGTGTTCCTTTAGTGGTGTCATGTTTCCTTGATTCTTTGTGATCCCTGTCACTTTTGTAGGTGTTTGTGTGTTTGAAGAAGAGTCACCTCTTCCAGACTTTATGGAATGATTTAGGTAGGGAAAGACCTTCACCTGTATCTGGGGGCATGCTGGAACATGCTGTGACCCTTAGTCTAGTGCTGCAGGATGCTAAGTGTGAGGGCATGTAGTGCCTGTGGATGGGGATGGGTGGGGGGTGGCATGGTGTCTCATTGGCTCAGGAAGCTATGGTCCATGACATCAACAACTGCATGATCTTTGGTGAGAGCTTCAGGCAGTACACAATGGCTCTGAGGACTGTTGGATTCTTTTTTTTTTTTTAAGATTTATTTATTTTATTTTATTTTAGAGAAAGAGAGAGAGAGTGCACGTGAGCTGGGGGAGGGGCAGAGGGAGAGGGAAAGAATCCTAAAGCAGACTCCCTGCTGAGCACGGAGCCTGACACAGGGCTTGATCCCAGGACACCAAGATCATGACCTGAGCCAAAATTGTCAGATGCTTAAGCAACTGAACCACCGGGGTACCCCAGGACTGTTGGATTCTTTAACAGAACCTCCAGTCTACTGGCTAGGGACCATGCCAGACAGTGATGGTGGCCATAGCCAGTGGTGTGCACACAGTTGGCTGTGGGGTCAGTTGAGGAGGCTGGCTGCAGGGGCCAGTTGCAGACAGATGTGCAGTAGTGAAGGTTAGGGCCCTCAGCAGGGGCTGGGACCAACTGCAGGCACACAGGCAGCTGCAGTGGCTCTGGCTGTCAATGCGTACATGTGTGACTATAGGGACTAGCTGTAGGCATGTGTTTGGCAGGGGAGGCCAGTGATGGGAGTTGGGGCTGGTGTATTGCAGGTGTACAACTGTAGGGTTAACTGCAAGTGAGTGGAGCTGTGCAGACCAATGACAAGGGTTAGGGTTCAGTCCAGATCCACCAATAGCCGTACAGACCTTGGTCGTTGGCATATACTTGTGGGGCTGCAGGAGCCTGCTCTGGCATATGCACAGCGGGTAGAGGCTGATAATGGGAGTCAGGCCAGCAGCGTGCAGACAAATAGCTGCAGGAATCTCCTGCCATTCTCAGCAGTTATCTCTCTCTTATCCTGGCTTTTCTCTCCTAGCCTTACCTTTAAGTGTTCATCAGCAAGCGTTTATCTTTAGCTTTTTTCTTTCTTCTCCTAGAAGATATTCTTATTGGGTGAGCTCCACTAGCATCCTCCTGCAAATGCATCTTTCTGTCAGTACCCAGGAGTTTAAGACTCATGAAATCTAACTAAATGACATTTCTGATCTTCTATTAGTCTGACAAATCAGAATTGTGTATGATTTCTCTCTTACACTGGGAAACCCCTTCCTCAAGGATAACTGGCTACCCTTTAATATATGACTGACAGTCTTGCCAATCAAGATGCCAAATGCTGCAATTCACCAATTTATAAATCTACTGGGAGTGCATGTAAAGGGCCATTAACAGATTCACAAAAACTCTGTCTCATAGCTGACAATCTAAGTAGAATGACTCTAGAATCTTATGGGTGGGAGCGTGAGGTGTGCAGAATGCTATGCATTTTAAGTAATTAAAATGCAAGTTAGTACTGTTCAGACTGGACAGTGTTTCTATCATTTTCCAGTGGAATTGATTCTGCATAACTTCCTACCAATGCACCATAATATATTTCAGTGTCATTAAGATTCTTACTGGAGGGGTGCCTGGGTGGCTCAGTTGGTTAAGCGACTGCCTTCGGCTCAGGTCATGATCCCAGGGTCCTGGGATCGAGTCCCACATCGGGCTCCCGGCTCAGCGGGAAGCCTGCTTCTCCCTCTCCCACTCCCCCTGCTTGTGTTCCCTCTCTCGCTGTATCTCTCTCTGTCAAATAAATAAAATCTTTAAAAAAAAAAAAAGATTCTTACTGGAAACTTCTATCAGACTACTGAATAGGTATCTTAAACGTGTTAACACCTCCAAACTCAAACTCTTACCATTCCTCCAACCTGTTTTCTCTCCTTTCCTTATTTCATTTAATGGCATCATCATCCATTCAGCCTTGTAAACATGAAAAAAACACTCAGTGAACATTAACTATTTCTTTTTTACTCTTTAGATCCAATTTTGCCCCCAGTCCTGATCATTGTATCTGTTTTAGTTTGGGTTCCCTCAGAATAGACCCTGATCCAAGGAGTTGAGTGCAAGTTCATCTGGGAGGTGGTTCCGGGAAATAATGGTAAGGGTGTAGGGAAGTAATACAGAAAAGTGAAAGACGCCTGTATTATTGGGCAGGTTGCACTGTAGACAACTGAGGTTCTATCCCATTGGGGAACTCTGAGAGACAGAAACGTTCCACCTCTGGGACTATATGCAATTTCTTATCCATCGCTGGCTGAGGCTTATCCTGTAAGATCAACTCCCACACACTTCTCGCCTATCCCCACATTTGGACTGGCAGGAATGCTCAGACAGAATTCCAGGTGCTTGAGGTCAGAAACCATCCACACGTACCGTAAAAGCAAAGCTGAAGGGGTATGGTTAGGGTATTGGCAATGTCTGGCAGAACCTAGACTAGAGTGAGGGCCATTTACTGCAGGTGCAACATTTCAGGTGCAAAATCTACGTTCATTCTCTCTTTCCCCAGTCTTTCATAATTCTAGTATTTGCTGGTGGAGGTAACTTTTTAAAGACACCAATTTGATCCCATCTATCCTGTGCTTAAAAAGTACAGAGTAAAGTCCAAACTCCTTGATTCAGCTTGATAAACCTTTACAGATTGAAAAGTGACTTTTTCAGTCGCATCTCCTGCCATTTTCTTTTATGTAAGTATGCTCTGTTCCATCAGTGTTTCACTTTTTGAACTTGCATACCCTAGTGTGTATTGCTCCTTCTGCCTCAAATGTTCTTCCCCCCGCTCCTTTACACAAAAATGTCTTATTAGCCTGTTAAAATCCAGTTTAGAAATCTTTCTGTGAAAACTTCCCTGACCGCCCTGGGAAAAGTAATTGCTTACCCCTCTGTGTTCCTTAGCGTTTTATATGCACCTCTACTTTTGAACTTTGCAGATTGAATTGCATCTGTTTATCGCTTTTTCCATCACTAAACTAGGAACTCTTCAAAGGAAGTTTTCCTGTTTCCCTGAGCACAAGTCTTACTCATCTTTACAACCCTAATGTCTACTGCATAGAGAAGACACCCAATAAAGGTTTATTGCATTGGATTTATCTGGGTGCATCCAAACAAAATGGATTTTAAAAGAAATGGAAGGGAACTTCTTAGCAATTTCAGGAGATTGACACCATAAGCAAAGAAAGCAGTCTGTGAGAATGTACAGTTGGGACCTACCAAAGAAATCTATTTTATATTATTTATTATTTATGAACTGCCTCAAAAAGGCTTTGAGGCAGCTATTCTAAAGTGTTGGAATCTGTTGTCTCCAAAAGCAGTAATTTCAGTTTATTCAACTAGAACATGTGCTGTGTTGATAAAAAGAAATGCAAATACTCTAGCACAGTATAAAGATACCATTTCAGATTATTCCCTAGATTGTAACTGCCCTAGAGGCAGAGGCCACGGATATAAAATTTAGTTTTTACATAGAACCTAGCCTAAATATACACAAATTCTTAAATGATTTTTGGCACAGCAATGATTTTGATAATTTGTAACCGAATTTGCAGTCATTTGCAGTGAAGTAGAGATCTGATAATTATCCACTTTAATTCTTTAATATGAATAAACAAGATAAATCACATTCCTCTCAGAACTCCTCATTCAAAAAAATGCTTTGTAGTGAGATCATTACTCTGTCTATATGCCTTTCTCACATGAATTGGGTGGCCATCAAAATTTCACTTCACCTCATCTGAATTGTTATTTCAAAAATTAATGAGGATGATAATAATGTTTTAAAAAAAATTCACTTGCATTACTGTTGCTGTGTGTGTGTTTCTTTTTTTTAATGATAATGGTGGTGATTATTAATGGTTGAGTTTTCCTGTCTCCCTGGGTACTAGCCTAGCACTAATCTAGTTTTGGCCAGTAACAACAGCAATAACAGTAGCAGAGTTTGAAAAGTTTAACAGTTGAGAACTTACCATTCAATAGAATGGTGGGATGCATTGGGGGTTAGGGGTGATTTCGGTCTTCTGTAGTACTTTTTGTTGTTTACTAATATTTTCTTTCTCTCTTTTTGTTATTAATATTGGTCTGGTAATACTTTTCCCTACCATTTGATGATACTTTTCAGTGGCCCAGATGAGTGAGTCAGCATCTCAAGAGGAACCCAAACCTGCTCAGGTACCTGGCTTACATAGATTTCTAACCACTTAACTATGAGAGGATTTGGGAATCAACATTCTTGAGAAAATTGAGATGCAATATTATATATTGTCACTTAATTATTTCTCTTTTTAGTTGAAATATTCTGCATCAGGTTGTGACAAAAGTGCTGAAAAAAATGGGGTCAGGGGTGCCCGGGTTGCTCAGTTGGTTAAGCATCCGAATTTTGATCTCAGCTCAGTCTTGATCTCCGGGTCATGGTTCAAGCCCCGAGTTGGGCTCCATGCTGGGTATGTAGTCTACTTAAGAAAAAGAGGTTGGGGGGTGTCAAATGGTAGTCGGGTCCCAGTAGTCTGCTTCTAGTTGGTTGGCATTTATAACAAGTCTGTTACTGTTTGAATTTGTTAATACAGCTACTTTGTATGATTTTATTTGGTATGATATTTGCCCGTTATGTAAATTTTTTTACATAAAAAGCTTGCTATACTAGAGTATAAGATGTTAATTTTATCTTTAGCTTCTTTTGGATGCCACTTACTAACACTGTTTCCATTTCAGGAAGATGGAAAAGAAGACAAAGAAAGGAAAGAGGAAGCACCTGAAGTCAAAGAGCCTACTGAGGTAGAGTTTTCATAAATAATCAGATGTTAATGCTGGAGAGTAAACTGGACAAATTAGTTTTCTTATGAAGAAGGAAAAGAAAATATGTGGGTATTCAAAAAGGTAAACAAAATGGCAAATGGGAAAGAGCAAACTCATGTTAATCATTAAGCTGACTCATTTGAGTCAGTTGCAGGAAGCTTCTGTGGACAGGTAAATTATTTGTGAAAAGCTATTATAAACTATAGGTAAATAAAGGTGCTTTCTAAAATCAGAACTATTACCCTGAGTACAATAACCACCAGTTTTTAGGGTAACTTCACTATTCATTCTGAAAATATAATTCCCATGTTAATAATTTAAGTAACTTTGTGTTTATTTGAATACAAGACTTCAATGAGGAAGAATATTCTATACAAAAGGGGAGGCAATTAAAAATATGATTCACCATTAAGTTCACTAATATGAGTCTTAAAAATATTCTATTATCATTCTTTTAAAACTATATCAGCATGAAAACAAAACAAACAAAACTACATCAGCATGAGCACAAAAAGCTATTTGCCACCATTTATTCATAAAACTAAGCTTTAATTTCTTTAGTTAAGATGAAATATTTTTCTTTCCACCACAAACATGGAAAGTGATTCTAATAGTAAAACAGTAGCATTTTCAAAAGTCTGGTTTCACTATGCGGTGGTCTCAAATTATGTTTCTAGAAAGTGTTGTATACCTTATACAATACTTTGAGGATTAATGTACATCTGGAATAATATTCTTAGCACATCACTTTGTTAGCCACAGGAAGATGGGATGACATGTTGAGCCAATGCATTTTATCTTGTTGATGCAGTAAGACTGTGATTACTGCTTTGCTTCTAGCATTAAATTCTAGAAAAATTAAGCAGTATGTTTGGTAACTCCTACAAGGCATTTATCTGCATTCTTTAACTGGGAGAGTTGATGTACCTTTGAGGAAAAGGTTTCTTTTCTCAGAAATTGATGTTTCTTTTCTCCTTTCAGAGTTCACAGAGTGAACCAGGCAGCTTTGCATTAGACACCAGCAGCAATGAGGTAGAAACAGCAGCAGATGAAATCAAAAACCAAGGTAGAGAACTAGCCTTCCCCCATACAGTGGAATTTAAAATAATTATATTTTCATTGGGGATGTATTCCTTAAGATTTTACCTTTAAAAAAATATAATCCAAGGGGTATTTTAAATACAATTTGGGAAATAGTTAAAAATGTACTCCCCTCACCATCTGTTAATACTTTCGAGACTTTATTCATCTCGTGCTTAAAGAGAAAATTTAGCTGAGAGCTGACTGACACATACCCATTAATGCAAAAATAAGATGAAGAACACAAGTGATTTGGCAGGCTTATTGTTTTGTTTGTTTGTTTGTTTCTCCCTTTTACCTCTGTACTTTGACCACACATTTATTCTGTTTGACTTCTAGCCCCATCCTTAACCCAAATCCCACATAATTATGCACATTGGAAATTTATAGGATCAAAGACAAAAAACAAGTGGGAAAGACATTCATCCCTGTCATTACAGTTCTTCTAACTTCAGATACTTAGTGAAATCCTGTGCAATAAAAATTCTTGACACTATCTGAAATTTAACAATTTAATTAATTGAAATTTGCTTCTGTTCATTTTAAAGCATTAAGTGTTTAGTATGTGCTAGGCTGTGATGACTGCCTCTCTAGAAAACTTACCAGTCAAGAGTTTGTGGTATTTCCTGTTCTTGTACTTTCAGTTTCCATTACTGCTTTTCAATGTATGGTAGAGGGGAGTGTGTTTTGTTTAAGTCTATTCACCCCAGTATATGATATATACTGAAAACATTGCAATTGCTTATTGCAATATCAGTTGCAATGCATTATACTTCTTTATTCAGTGACCAGTCACTATTAAGCCTAATATTTTAAATCTCTCTTTGTAAACGTGTGTGTGTGTGTGTGTGTGTGTGTGTGTGTATTTAAGAAGTGGGAATAGGAACGGTTAATTCAATTTCAACATACCAAAGGAAGGGTCTTTATTCTTGTTACATACTTGTCAAAATTAAAATTCTGTTATCTTGTCAGGCAGCTCTCAGAATGCACTCAAATACAGATCTTTGCAAAGAAAATATTGTGTTTAAGTGTACATGTGAATTCCTCATTTCTTTATCTTAGTTATTGTACTTTTCAGGATATGAGCTTAACTTACATTTTGAGAAGTCATTTTTTGAAAATATGTTTGTTCAGGGTGCCTAGCTGGCTCAGTCGGTAGAGTGTGCAACTTTTGATCTTGGGGATTTAAGTTCAAGCCCCATGTTGGGTGTAGAGATTACTTAAAAATAAAATATTAAAAAAGAGAGAGAAAATATGTTTGCTCAAATCTGTTCTTACTTTATAGCCCTAAGATTAACAAAGTTTTGTAGGAAAATGCATTTTCCTACAGCTATTGAATCTTAATTCCAATAGTATTTAATAGTGCTTCTTTTCCTCCTCTCTAGTCATTCTACCTTCTGTACAAATGTTAGAATCAAGCCAGCTGAGTTTCAGACAGGGCTTGTTGTTTTTTTTTTAATTTAATTTTATTATGTTATGTTAGTCACCATATAATACATCATTAGTTTTTGATGTAGTGATCCACGATTATTGTTTTTGTATAACACCCAGTGCTCCATGCATTACATGCTCTCCTTAATACCCATCACCGGGCTAACACGTCCCCCCACCCCCTCCCCTGTAAAACCCTGTTTGTTTCTCAGAGTCCATAGTCTCTCATGGTTCGTCTCTCCCTCCGATTTCCCCCCCTTCATTTTTCCCTTCCTTCTCCTAATGTCCTCCATGCTATTCCTTATGTTCCACAAATAAGTGAAACCATATGATAATTGACTTTCTCTGCTTGACTTATTTCACTTAGCATAATCTCCTCCAGTCCCATCCATGTTGATGTAAAAGTTGGGTATTCATCTTTTCTGATGGCTGAGTAATATTCCATTGTATATATGGACCACATCTTCTTTATCCATTCATCTGTTGAGCATCTCGGCTCTTTCCACAGTTTGGCTATTGCAGACATTGCTATGAACATTGGGGTGCATATGGCCCTTCTTTTCACTACATCTGTGTCTTTGGGGTAAATACCCAGTAGTGCAATTGCTGGGTAATAGGGTAGCTCTATTTTTAATTTTTTGAGGAACCTCCACACTGTTTTCCAAAGTGGCTGTACCAACTTGCATTCCCACCAACAGTGTAAGAGGGTTCCCTTTCTCCACAACCTCTCCAACATTTGTTGTTTCTTGCCTTGACAATTTTTGCCATTCTAACTGGTGTAAGGTGGTATCTCAATGTAGTTGTTTTTTTTTTTTTTAAAGATTTTATTTATTTATTTGACAGAGAGAGACACAGCGAGAGAGGGAACACAAGCAGGGGGAGAGGGAGAGGGAGAAGCAAGCTCCCCGCAGAGCAGGGAGCCTGATGCGGGACTTGATCCCAGGACCCCGGGATCATGACCTGAGCTGAAGGCAGTCGCTTAACCAACTGAGCCACCCAGGCGCCCTCAATGTAGTTTTGATTTTAATTTCTGTGATGGCTAATGATGATGGACATTTTTTCATGTGTCTGTTAGCCATTTGTGTGTCTTCTTTGGAGAAGTCAGACAGGGCTTGTATTTAAGGAGAACATCGCACATTTAGTTGAGTAGCCTTGCTGGGTCAATTTGCACCAGTTTAATCAGTAGCCAGTCCCACTAATGTTATAAGCCCTCTTGTGAAGAAAGAATCTGCTAAAGCTTATTAGAACATGGATAATAATTCATTCCTATATATGTCCTTAAATAGGTTTGTACCAAGGCCATTCCCAGCAGGGAGCCATGAACTAAATGCAAGAAATGATAAAAGTCATTTTTAAGGATGGACCTTTCAAAATACGAATATGGAATTCTTTTGTGTCCCTACTTATTTAGTTGGAAGCATTTATGCCCAAAGTACCCGAATAAGTCTTTGTATGTTAGAAGCTGGATTAATACAGGGGTGAAGATGTACATGTTGGGGAAGAATTTAAAAGGTTTTTAATGCTATGAAGAGTTTAGGAAGGTAATCCTGAAAAAGAATTCCAGTGCTTAGCATAGTGCCTGCCACAAAATGAGGCATTATTATTATTGAGTAAATGTATAATGAATCAGTCAATCTGTAAAAGGTTTAGGAATGTCCAAGCATAAACCTGCTAAAAAACCCAGTACCTGTTTGAAACTATATTCAATTGAACCTCAGAATTTGCCCTTGGGCAGTGCTATAATTTATGGTCCTTGAACTCAGAGGTCACTCAGTCAAAAGACAGCTGCAAATAGGCTTGCTTAGAATCCTGATTTATTAACCCTACTATTGCTGTGCCTCCTTTTCTTTTCTTGGTTTTATGGCTCTAAGAGAAAAGTGTTTGACTAGAGTTGTAACCAAATACACATCTTCTTCCACTCTGCATATCAGTGCAAACACTAGGATTATTGCTTAGCAACCTATCATAGCCAAGCACACTAGAGAAGCACTAGCAGTCTGCAGCAAGATAGAGAATGTCCTAGTTCATGTGTGAGTGCACATATGAACCATGGCACATGGGTAGATATTAAATTGCTATGCATCTGTAGCACTACCTTTAGAGCAGGAGAGGATCCTCTTTGGGTTATGCTGGAGAGGGTAAAAGCAAAGAGAGTAACAGTAGAACCTGCAGACTTTAAAGAATTGCTCTCTTTCACACTTATTTAAAACAAGAACAAAATCATTGTATGTTAATGAGCATTGTGATGAACCAGAGTGGAAACATCCCCTCCCCCTCAAAAACGTGGCTAACTTGTTGGCAAATCCAACTGAGAGGTAAGGGAGAGCATTTATACTACCCTCCTTACTGCCCCCATATTGGAATAAGAGAATTAGCCAAAGAGGAAATAAAAACTTGGGAGGAGGTTCATAAATACTATTCACTATTGGACATCAGACATTCTTTAGATGAAATATTGGCTTTTCAAGAGTTTCCTCATACTCTACTTAATTTTTTCCTGGGCAGAAAGATGGATACTATCTAGGTAGGATATAAAAGTATTCTTCAGAGTATTCTCAATAAGGCTAGGGGAAATTTTAAATAAATAAATAAAACAAATTTAAAAATATTTGTGGGTAAACTCCCCACCAAAAATGAGAATGAATAAATCCATTGCAGTACAGTCATATAATGAAATACTATGAAGCAGTGAAAAATGAATGAACTAGTTATAACTGCACCAAAAATAATAAGATACCTAGGAATAAACCTAACCAAAGAGGTGCAAGACATGTACTCTGAAACTATATAAAACACTGATGAAATAAATTGAAGATGACACAAAGAAATATAAAGACATTCCATGCTCATGGATTGGAAGAACAAATATTGTTAAAATGTCTATACTACCCAAAGCAATCTATGGATTTAATGCAATCCCTATCACAATACTAAAAGCATTTTTCACAGAACTAGAATGAACAACCCTAAATTTATTATGGAACCTTATAGGACCCCAAATAACCAAAGCAATTTTGAAAAAGAAAAGCAAAGTTGGAGGCATCACAATTCCAGACTTCAAGTTATATTACAAAGCTGTAGCAATCTTAACAGTATGGTACTGACAAAAAATAGACACATAGATCAATGAAATGGAAAATCCAGAAATAAACCCACAATTATATGGTCAATTAATCATTGACAAAGCAGGAAATAATATCCAGTGGGAAAAAGTATCTTCAACAAGTGGTGTTGGGAAAACTGGACAGCAACATGCAAAAGAATGAAACTAAACTATGTTCTTATACCAATGCACAAAAATAAACTCAAAATGGATGATGTGAGATCTGAAACCATAAAAATCCTAGAAGAGAGCACAGGCAGTAACTTCTCTGACGTTGGCTGAAGCAGCTTCTTTCTAGATATGTCTCCTGAAGCAAGGAAGCAAAAGACAAAAATACACTACTGGGACTACATCAAAATAAAAAGCTTCTGTACAGAGAAGGAGATAATCAACAAAACTAAAAGACAACCTATGGAATGGGAGAAGATATTTGCAGATGACATATCCAATAA